TATGTCTTCTTGGAGTTTTGGACAGCTGACCCTAGCATCGAAGGCCCTATTTGGTCCCTGACAAATTTATCGAGGCCCCATTTGGTCCCTGACAAAATTATCGAGGCCCTATTTAGTCCTTAACACCACAAACCTTTCTCTATCTATTTTATTTATTTAATTGATGTAATTTTTCCATTGCTCATAATATGGAAATGTAGGACCCCTAAAGGGTTCTTTGCTAGCTAGGTGGTGCAGCACTCATCCTCAATCCAAGGACTTTGCTTGGGTCTCCCAACATTCCTGAGGGCCTTCCAAACAACACTGTTACACATGAACCCAGCACCAAAAGCTATCTGACAAACCCAATCACCCCTCTTGATCCATGAGTTAAACTCAAGGTATGCCAGTTCATACCAGATGCTGCTGCTAGATGTGTTGCCAAATCGTTCCAATGTCTTTCTTGATGCTTCCATGTACTCCTCTGTGAGCTCCAAATTCTTCTGAATCTCATCCAACACTTTCTTACTTGTTGCCAGAATGCATACATGCTCAAAAGCCAACTTGTAATCCGGAATGTATGGCTTTGTTTTCTTTTTCTTGAAGAGCAAATTGGTGAAGAAGTGAAGCTGTTCTGAAACTGGTAGGACTAGTGGACCTAATGTTGTAATATTGGCCTTTAATGCATGGCCTCCAACCTGACATCTTTGCTTACAGAAAGTTCCTTCCTCCCTTCACTATCTTCCCTTTGGTCTATTATCATTGATGAGAGTGATGGGGTGGTGTTTAATATTCCTTTGGTTTTACTTTTGTGACAGCAAGAAGGTCCTTAATTGCCCCAAACATCACCGTGGATACCTCTTGTCCTTAATTGTCTCATTCAATGCATGCAAAAAATTGAATATATATACATAAATAGGCTTACATTCCCTTAAACATATTGGCAAAGAATTATACAATCTCAAATAATGAAGACTTAAATCTCATCCACACTTAAATATGTGAAGAGTGATAAATAGTTAACAAAAAAGTGTTGTTTACCTTGTATTCATCTGAAGGGAAAAAACATGAAAAATCAAGCAAATAGGTAGACCGGGGTGTAGATTCAATATAAAAATATAGCATTAAGAACAAAAGTGCTGATATAAATAGAGCCTCAGTGAGGTCATGTTTGTCATAGAGATCTTTCCAAGTGAACTTTCCAATATGAGCAATCAAGGTTGCAAGAAGAGGTGGTTCCAGCAACAAATACAAACGATGGCTAATGAAGTAACCGTAACCGAATTTCACATATTTTAGATTAACTGAACTAAGGAAATCTGGCAGTTTAGGCCATACTTTAATTGAGAAGTTAAGAGTGCCTGAATTTGGGTCAGAGTTCTCAACACCCCTTTGCAGAATCTCCGTGAAAAATTGCTCATTTTCTTTTGACATGGGGGGAAAATTCACTTGCAGAAAACTATGTTGATTGAAGAAAGAGTTGGGGAAAAAACATTTAACGCAGTTTGAGGTGCATGCAGATAGAGAAAGGTTTGTAGTGTTAAGAACCAAATAGGGCCTCGATAAATTTTTCAAGGACCAAATAGGGCCTCGATAAATTTGTCAGCTGTCCAAAACTCCAAGAAGACATAAAACGACGTCGTATTACTTCCACGCTGACATACTTAACGGTGACTCAGCAAAGTAACGGTCCACGTGTGCTCCGTTAGTTGGGCCGTCAAATGCCATCTAACGGAAGGACGAACGTGGCCCTTTTTTTCAAATATTAAGGACTAAGATGAGCCTTTTTTATTATTCGGGACTAAAATGTGGCTCGTGAAAATTGTAAGGGACAAAAATGGGTATTTACTCAATTTTCATTATACAATTAATACTTATTATTACTTAATTTTATAATTTAAAAAATGTAATATGACCCTTTTTGTTTTTAGATAAAATTTTGCTCTTTCATTGGTGTTCTGGCTTCTACGCCAAAAGTGAGGTTCTTTTGGGGATAAAACTGAGCATCAAAAAAGGCTTGTCTCCCAAGTATCGGAACATTATAGGCTGTTTTATATTCATTGTAAATATAATGTGAATCTCCTTTTTATATTAAAAAATGTAAAGCAAAAAGATCATAATAACTTCTCTTTTTTTATAAACAATAAATTAACTTTAAAAAGGGGTAAAATGGCGCACTTAATCATATGTTAAATAGTGATTGTCATGTTAACGGGAGTTATGTACATTCATTGAACGGACTGATAAGTCCATTATTTGTGACTTAGAACATGTGATTTGATATTAAAATGGGAGTGAAAAGAATATCTTTGTTAATAAAAAAACCCCAAAGATTGCATTGAAGTGAATTTTTCTGATTTTGATATTAATGGGCTGATTTTATATGTTCAGGCCCAATTGGTGTTAATTCTCCATGCAGAAAAAGAGTGAAGAAAAATTGGGCAAATGCTTTGATCAGAAGCCCAAAATGAGAAAGCAAATCAGAAAAGAAGAGAATGGACCAGAGGAATTAAAACCCAATCAGTGGCCCAAAAGAAAAGAAAAGAAGGGGAGAGAAAGAAGTCAGAATCGTGCGTCTTCTGAAAGAGAAAAAAAACCCTAGCATAGACCGTCTAAGTGAACCTACTCCATCTCAAGCTCTCCATCACGGTTCCTTCTCTGAATCGAGCAAGTAAACCAAAAACATCCTATGATTTTCAACCTAGATATAGAACCATCACCTTCCACCACGGTTCAGTTTTTGAATCGGACCAACCTACACAAACCCTAACGCCTTTTCTCTCTAACCGAACCCTAACCCTCATACAACCCATCTCCATCGTTTGCACCCTTTCTACCCGATTGACGCACCAAACCGCACAATTTCGCAAACAACCAGAACCTAGCCACTATTTTGAGTTAGAAAAAGGACAAAGGAAAACCGTTACTGAGTGGTGAGCTAGATACTTTTCGAGAGTGAGGCTGAGCGATTTTTGGGCACAAGGTTACGTACGGGTTGAAGGAGCAACAATCCATTCAGATTGTCTGAGGAGGGAGCTGCGGGGACCACCTGCCTGTAACGCACAAGGAGCGCGTGGGTACCTGCTGAGCTGGAGAGGAAAATCGTGCAAAGAAGGAAAGGAGCCCTATAAAAAGGGACTGAGGAGTGAGTCATGGTGGCACTCCTGATTCTGATTTATCGTTTTTTTTAGTTCTTGCTTTTTGAACAATTTTTATTTTCTTTTAATTTCTATTTTGTAATGAGATTCTGGTTCATCTGATGAACTCGATACATGTATTTACAGCACTGAAATTGCTGGTTGTTAGGCTAGTGCTGTAAATTATTTTCTAGCATTTCTCTTTTGTAATTTCTTTAGTTCTGTTACTGTGTGTAAGCCTCATCCATATGGATAGTGGCTAACTTTTTAGAGGTTGGGTTTCGGTGATACCCAAACCTCAGTGCTTGTTAAATGTTTGATTTTATGGTTTTAATTTTTATATCTCAGTTGTTTAATGCTTTTTTCTAATGTTTAAAATTATCTGCATTTTGGCCGAATGTCAGAGGTTTGGTTAGGATTTAGTTGTTGAGAAACAACTAATTCTAGATTCTGCATTAGACACATGGACTTAGATGAGAAATCATCTAAGGGATCTCAATTCAGAAATGAATGAGTCCTCATGTAATATTGGACCTGAGTCTCAAGAGTCCTAATCCCACTTGGCATAGAGATATGAAAGTGGGCAACTTTGGGATAAAATAATTTTTAAGAGATTAAAATTAACAATACAGTTCTGTTAACTGAGAATCTTAGGATGAGCTTTTTGTTAATCAAATTGTTTTTCAAGCACTGTGGGGAAGGAGAGCCAAAACTCAACCCACCTTTTTAAACCTCTTTATCAATTCAGATTTTCCAATTTCCTTTGTTATTTCATATTTCAATCTCTATTCTGTTTTCAAAATTTTTGTCACATCTTTCATTTAAGTTGCTTCATTCTTCATTCTTATTTTATAACTTAGGAAAGTAATTCGAAAATTTTAAAAGAAAAGTGAACAGTAGTGTTTTAGGTCCATTCTAGATTATTTTTTACTTTACAATTTTATTTCTTCTATTTTCAAATAGTAAATCAGTTTTAAGCAATTACAAATTTTAGTCAATTCAAAACGCCAACGATCCTTGTGGGAACGATAACTGGGACTTATAACAGCCCTATATTACTTGTTGTCGCGTATACTTGCGCGCATTACTTGCACAACTGTTAGCAAGGCAACAAGTTTTTGGCGCCGTTGCCGGGGATCGAGGCGTATATGATCAGATTTCTGTGTGATTGCTATTCTTGAACTGCTTCTGTTTGCTGTTTTTAGTGTAGCTCATTTGAATTCTGTTTCAGTTTGTTTAGTTATTAGTTCTATAGTATCTTGAATATTGGTAGTTTAAAATCTGTTCTGTTCATATTCTGTTTATTGTATGTCATTTAATTTTTTTTTAGTTTCATTTTTATTTTAATTATTAGTTCCACCCTGTGTGAGGGTGAGTTGTTACTGCCTTATAAAGCCGTCAGGCTGTGAACTGTCTTGGGACTTTTCTGCTTGCAGGTTCTTGTGTGTTTATTTTTTGCTTGTTCTGCATAAAAGTTGGTTAGTAATCTAGGTGTTTTAGTTAAGTCAGGTTTACCTGTTTTAGTTAAAAGGGGTGCATGAGTGCAACTCCACACCCGTTCATATATTCAATTGACCCTGAACCTGAGAGGACATTTAGAGTTAGGAGAAGAGCCCAGAAAGCACATAGACAAATTCCACTTCTAGAAATTAAAGAAATGGAGGATTTAGGAAGTGTAAATGGAAATGATGGGGTAGGAGGACCTGTAAGGATAAGGGACCCACCTGTCATAAATGATAATGATAGGTCCATGATGGACTTCATCATACCTGTGTTGGATGAGTTAGATCCAAGCATCGCCCAACCTGTGAATGGAGTGCCCTTCAAATTAGAACCGGTGATGTTCACCATGCTTCAAAACATGGGCAGTTTCATGGGTTGTTGATGGAAGACCCACATAAGCACCTTAGAAATTTCATAGAAGTGGCCAACACTTTTAGGAATCCTAACATCTCGGATGATGTGTTAAGATTGAAGCTCTTCCCTCATTCACTGGCTGACAAAGCCAAAGAATGGTTGAACTCCTTTCCATCCAACTCTATAACCAATTGGCACACCCTTGCTGAGAAATTCATTATGAAATTTTTCCCCTCTAATAAGGTAGTGCAAACTAGAGGTGATATTGCTAACTTCATGCAGAGGGATGGAGAGACACTAGTGGATGTGTGGGAGAGGTATAAGAACCTTCTTAAGCAATGCCCAAATCATGGTTTGCCCTCTTGGGCAGTGTTACAAACCCTGTACAATGGCCTAAATACTCAAAACAGGGCCTTGGCAGATTCTGCTGCTAATGGCATGTTTATGACTATGTCCTTTAACCAAGCCCATGAGTTGTTAGAACAAATGACTCAAAATTATGCCCAATGGCCTGAAGAGAGAAATCAGCCAAGGAGAGTGGCTGGTTTACATGAGATAGACCCTGTAACAGCTCTTTCAGCCAAGTTTGATGCACTGTCCAATTTAGTGAGAACCCAAGGACAAACCATTGAGGCAAGATTATCCCAATCCCAAGTTCCTGCACCTCAAATACCTGTGACCCAACCTCAAGTTAATGCAATAAACACAAGTGTAACTTGTGTTTGCTGTGGTGGGCCCCATTTGTATGATAGCTGCCCATCCAACCCAGAATCTGTGTTTTATGTGGGAAACCAAAATAGAAACCAAAATATTTTTCCCAATAACTTTAACCAGGGATGGAGGCAGAACCAACAGCCTCAATATTTTCAAGGGCAGGGGCAGCAAGCTGGTCCTTCTAATGCCCAAACAAAAATACCTTTTCCTACCCAGAATTACCAACAAACTTCAAGGCAGCAAGCTGTTGTTCAACCTAGTGAGATGCCTATTGCTCCATCCTCTTCTTTAGAAGCTTTGTTAAGGGAATATTTGGTTAAGAATGAGACCAAGCAAAATAGCTTGGAAGCTGTTGTGCAAAGTATTCCAGCATCCCTAAGGAACATAGAATCCCAACTAGGCCATTTAGCAAACACTATGAATACCAGACCTCCTGGTACCTTGCCTAGTAACACTGAAGAGCCTAGGAGAAATAAAGAGCAATGCAATATGATAGAGCTTAGAAATGACAGATCTGTAAATCAGTCAGAAGCTGTGGTTAGACCTTCCACATTAAAAAAAGAAGAAGGGGAGAACATGCAGAAAGAAAAGGATGCAAATTCTGAACCTGTTCAGAATTCTGTTGTTCATAATAGCCCCCAAGGGGTTGTGCACAATAACTGTTCACCCATTTTGGTCGAATCAGACACTCAGCCCTCTATAGATGAGCCTTTAGGGAATAATTCCATTGAAAAACCTACTCAAAAGGGTTTGACCCCTAAGCCAAATAGTGAGACACCTGCTACTTCAAAAAGACCTCCACCACCCTTTCCTCAAAGGTTGCAAAAGCAGAAGCAAGATAATCAGTTTAGGAAATTTCTAGACCTCTTAAAACAGTTGCATGTCAACATTCCATTTGTTGATGCATTGGAACAAATGCCCTCTTATGTAAAGTTCATGAAAGAAATTCTTTCAAGAAAAAGGAGGCTAGAAGAGTTTGAGACTGTTGCTCTTACACAATAGAGCAGTCAATATCTTCTTAGTAAGATACCTCCTAAACTAGGAGACCCAGGAAGTTTTACAATCCCTTGTACCATAGGAGACCACTACATAGGCAGAGCATTGTGTGATTTAGGTGCTAGTATCAACTTAATGCCTTTGAGTGTGTACAAAAAGCTGAAAGTAGGAGAGCCTAATCCCACCACTGTCACATTACAGTTGGCTGATAGGTCTCTAGTTTATCCGGAAGGGAAAGTAGAGAATGTTTTGGTTAAAGTAGATAAATTCATTCTACCTGCTGATTTTATAATTTTAGACTATGAGGAAGACAGAGAGGTTCCAATTATTTTGGGAAGGGCTTTCTTGGCCACTGGTGGGGCTGTCATAGATGTTAAGGAGGGTGAGTTGGTCATGAATGTGAATGGGGAACAAGTAAAATTTAATATTTAAAAGCCATGAAATACCCAAGAGACATTGAGGAATGTTCTAGACTAGATATCATTGACTGTGTAGTCAAAGATAAATTTTTGCATGAGTCCTCATTAGACCCTTTACAAAATTCCGGTTTTGAGGGTCTAGAAATCAGTCAAACTGATTCTGAGGAAGTAGTTAAGTGGCTGAATTCTAAAACTGATGTGGTTTGGAAAAATAAAAATTTTGAGTCATTAGAATTGGCCAAGAGAGGGTTAAAAATTCCCAAATCTTCAATTGAAGAGCCCCCTGTGTTAGAACTCAAGCCTCTGCCTAATTATCTTAGGTATGCTTACCTAGGAGAAAAAGATACCTTGCCTGTCATAGTGTCCAATCTGCTCACTGTGCTAGAAGAAGAACATTTGCTGACTGTTTTAAAAAAATTTAAGAGGGCTATAGGTTGGTCTTTAGCAGACATAAAAGGTATTAGCCCTTCTTATTGCACACATAAAATTCTGTTGACTGACCCAACCAGCAGCTCTAGGGAGCAGCAAAGGAGATTGAACCCAATCATGAAAGAGGTAGTCAAAAAGGAAATAATTAAGTGGTTGGATGCTGGGGTAATATATCCTGTTTCTGACAGTAACTGGGTCAGCCCAGTACAGTGTGTCCCTAAGAAGGGTGGGATCACTGTTGTGGAGAATGAAAAAAAAGAATTAATATCCACAAGGACTGTCACTGGTTGGAGAATCTGTATGGACTACAGAAAACTCAATAAGGCCACTAGGAAGGATCATTTTCCTTTGCCTTTTATTGATCAGATGTTAGATAGATTGGCTGGTAAGGAATACTATTGTTTTCTAGATGGTTATTCAGGGTACAATCAAATAGCCTTAGCTCCTGAAGACCAGCCAAAGACCACTTTCACTTGTCCCTATGGCATTTTTGCCTTTAGGAGAATGCCCTTTGGATTGTGCAATGCACCAGCCACCTTTCAAAGGTGCATGATGGCAATTTTTACTGACATGATAGAACAATTTGTGGAAGTCTTCATGGATGACTTCAGTGTCTTTGGGGATTCTTATGAAAAATGCCTAGGAAATTTGGAAAAAGTTCTTGAGAGGTGTGAAGAGACAAATCTGGTCCTAAATTGGGAGAAATGCCATTTTATGGTGAAGGAAGGCATAGTTCTAGGACACAGGATCTCTAAGGCTGGTTTAGAGGTTGATAAGGCCAAGATAGACCAAATTGAAAAGTTGCCACCCCCTGTTAACATAAAAGGGATAAGGTCTTTCCTTGGGCATGCTGGCTTTTATAGAAGCTGTTGTATTTGCCTTTGACAAGTTTAGATCTTATTTGGTAGGTACCAAAGTCACTGTATATACTAACCATTCTGCCATAAAATATTTGGTGGAAAAGAAGGATTCTAAGCCTAGATTGATTAGATGGG